ATATATATATATATATATATATATATATATATATCTATATATATATGTACATGCATGTATATGTATGGATGTATGTACATGCAGGTATGTGCGTGTGTGTGTGTGTCTGTGTTTATTTATTTAAAAGATTGGTCAAAGGCTATAGTACGAGCCCCCAACCAACCTCATGTATTTGTACACCAGCAGGATCGAATCCCCGACTCCAGAAGACTGAACTTACATTGCAGATGTAAACCAAAGAGTCGGGGAACGCGACAAACATATATATATATATATTGATATATATATATATATATATATATCTGTTTGTGGATGTCTGTCAAAAAACTTATCATTCGTGAACAACTTATGTTCCACTCATTAATTAAGCTATTCGATTCGTTCGTTAAGAGAAACCAGCCAAACACCAATTTTTTTTAGCTCGATTTATGAACGAGCCAAATCTGAGCAAACTTTTTTGTTGATCATGTTTAGCTCATTTTAGCTTGAATTAATTAATCAATTAATATTATCACAATATTTTATATTAATTTTCTATGCAATATTAAAAAAATATTAAATCTTATTATTGTTTTAAATAATGTGAGCTAATTTTGAGCTGTACATGAGTCAAAATGAATAGGGGAAGTTGAATCTATCCGAACATGAACATGCTATTCACGAGTTATTTTGAACGCGAGCCTATTTCGAGGCAAAAAAAATTTGACCGAGCTGAACTCGACTAAACTCTGGGCTCGCTGAAACTCGGCTTATTTACACCCCTATGTGTGTGTGTGCGTGTGCGTGTTCCACAAAAAAAAATGTAAGCCCATATCGCCACAAATCCCTGAGAATTTTTTACGACTAAACTTTGGGCTCGCTCAAACTCGGCTTATTTACACGCCTATCTGTGTGTGTGCATGTGCCTGTTGCACAAAAAATAATATAAGCCCATATCGCCACAAATCCCTGAGAATTTTTTTCTATTATTTAGGTTGCACCACATATTTGCACCACTTTCCTTTCATTCCTAGCCCAACAGATTTCGGGTTACAAACTTTACCGTCATTATAATGTAATTTCATTTTGAGGAATCTAAATCTATCTTATTGCGCGATGGCAGAAATCGATCCAAGGATAAAAGGTCTGACAGGACCGATCTCATCTGTGAGGCAGATAGCTCAGGAGTACCGAGTTTTCTTTAAAAAAGTAGACGAGGAAGGCCAAGATTACCTTGTTGAATCTTCACATAACATGTAATTATTCCTTTCTTATTAAAAAATGTGAAGTCCAAAGTTGAGATTTAATTTATTAATGATCATATTTGTTTTATATACCTATGGCAGGTACCTTCTGGACCCTAACATGGACACAGTGAGATGGTTTGGCGCAGAATATGATGCCTCACAGTTGGCTGATGGCATATTGGCTGAGGTGAAGAAAGCAACTCAGTGATGAACTCATAAAATTTTCTCATCTTTTCTCTGTAAGCTGATTCTATTAGTTTTTTTTTTTCTTAATAAATGATTATTGGGGCGTTTACATTCATACCACCCAATTCCTATGTATTTACATATCAAGACAGCTAAATTTTATTTTCTTACATTTATACCACTGAAATCTTTCTTATTACCTAAAACTACCACCATTTGAACTTTAAAAAAAAGTGAAATACATCTTTTCGTGCATACGTAATGTGGTATGTATGTAAAAATTGAAGTTTAATTGTTAAATATGTAAATACATAAGAATTGTGTGTTTTTTTTTTTTACACATTAGGAGTTGAGTGTTATTGTGCATGTAAAGCTACCATGATTTATTTCTCTTGATTTAGTGGGTAAAGTGATTTTAGTACATTTCAGGTGATTTCAAGAAAAAGAATGAATTTAATTTTGAAACCTCAAAGTTACAGCCGATTTATGAGAGAAGGTATCACCTTATACTCTGAATACATCTGCAATTACAATAATTAATTAGGTGATTACCATTCATGCTTCTTTGGTTCAACATGATGCAGCCATTTTATTTTGAATACAATTTAACAAGATGGCCTTCTCATTTTTATTATTTATCTTTTTCCCCTTCTTTTTAGAACCTTAGAAAGTAGTCCAACAGAAGTTCTCTGAACAGGCATTGTATTGCCATAGGCAGCTCAATTTCATTTGATGTTTAATTTTCTTTAAATAAATAAATAAATAAATTATTAGTAGTTTTGATTTCTTTTAGATGTTTGCTGGACCAAAACATGTATTTATTGCTTGTTATGAGATGGTCTAATTGGTATTTTGATTCGTGCTTGTACGATGTGAATACTTTGAAGTTGGTTATGCTTCTTATTAACTGTTTTTGAGTTTTCGGTGTATACAACAACGACGACGACGACAACAACAAGCCTTTCTAAGTGGGGAGTTTTTGGTGCATACAATTTTTTTTTTTTTTCTACGATGACGACGACAACAAGCCTTTCTAAGCGGGGAGTTTTTGGTCTTCTGTTCTAAATTATTTACTGTTATAAAATCACCTAATTTTTCTCCAATATTTTGTTCAAGTTATTGCTTAAATAGCTTATATTGTTTAGTGAATATTATTACTTATGCTTGTTCATATTTACTTGTGCCAGTTGTTAGTCTTCTCTACACTTTCATTTTGTTTTTCAAAGTCTTGAATTTGTGTGTGCGTGGAAGCCAGATTTAGTGTTAAATATTTGTAATCTATGGAGAGATTGTGGGACTTGTGGTGCTGCTTCACCTACCCTCACAGGAATTATTTGCACAAGTATGGCAAAGTCATGTTTGATGAAAGTTTGCAGTAATTTTCTTCATTCTAGAATATTGCATATTTGTTTTAGGACCTAAAAATGTGAGGTGTTTACATATCTGCCACCTAAATCATTCATATTTACACGCATATCACTCAAATCCTTAACATCACATTAGAAATACCATCACCGCTGTCCTTTTAAAAGTGCGGTGTACCTGTTCATTTTTTATAAGTGTAAATATCAGATTTTGGGTGTTAGATATATAAATACCTAAGAATTCTGTGGTATTTATGTAATTTCTCGTTTTAAAAATTGATTTGTAGATTCGTTTTAAGGACAACTGTGTTTGAGCAGTCAAATGCCACGTTCAATGCTTATTTGTCAAATTGAATGGTATAGAATGGAATATCAGTGGTTTATGTTGAGTTTTATGACACATTTTCTTATAAGAATTTAAATGAAGAATTCTTGGAGCTTTATATCATTATGATAGTTTGATGTTTATAATTGATTTTTGTATGTTATTTTATAGGTATCATGCAGCTGTGATGAAGTATATGAAATAGTATTTAGTGAACTCGAGCTTGAATGTTTTGTGTTTGTGGTTGAGATAATAAATTTAATTTATTTATACAATGAGTGAATTATACCACATCATAAATGCAGCCTTTTTCAAGCATAGAAGTGTAATTTTGAAAGTGTTATTGGTTATGAAATGATGATATTATCTTGAGGGATATTTCAAGCTAGTATGAAAATGATGATGCCATTGGCAGTCAATAGAAGGTTGGGTAACATAAGGCCAATCAATGTTTGTATTGAAATGATTTTTACTATTAATTTTATTTGGTTTTGTTTGACATCACAAGAAGGGAATGTGGAACAATCTTTTGGTGGCTTTGTGAGATTGTCTAGCTACTCAAAAGGGATACCATTGGAATAACATCATACAAAAAGGTAAATTCCAAGTGGAGTTATAATATACATAGAATGAGAAGTCTACTATTAATGAATATCAGTAGAATATTAAGCAAGCTGTAAAAGATGTATTTGGAGAATAAAAAGAAAATTTTTTTTGGGAATAAGAATAGCTTTTGGTGGAATAATAATACGTGAGAAAATGTTAAAAATAAGGTATTTTGTTATAAAAATTAATTTAGAGGTAAAAGTTTGGAGATTGAAGAAAAATGTAAGATGACTCATAGGCTTTTTAAGAGAATAATTTGTGATGTTAAAAATTCTATTTTTTTAGTATTAATTATAATAAATTAGATTTATTAACTAGTTAAGTAAAACTAAGAAAAAAATATTTACTTAAAATAATGTGTGTATTAAGGATGAACATCAAATGTTATTTCTTAAATGAATATAGTCAACATGGATATGAGATAGTTTGATAATATTTTTAATGAAGATTGCGAAAATATGATCGACAAGTGATCTTAATATAATAAATAATAACAAAATATTTCATCTATATGACCACATTAGTAAAATAGAAGTTGAGGAAGCTTTAAAGAAAATGATGGAAAAAATAATATCACTTGATGATATGTTAATAGAAGTGAGAAAATGTTAGGAGATATGAGATTTTTTTTTTTGCTTATTAATTTTTTTAATATTATTTTGAAAATAAAAATAGATTGTTAATGAGTGGAAAAAGAGCCCATTCATTCATATTTTTAAGAATAAAGGGAGTGCATGAGAGTGCGTAAATTATAAAAAAATTAAGTCAATGCGTCATACCTTAAAGTTATAAGAAAGAATAACTAAATGTTGGTTACAACGTGATATAATTTTTTTTTTTAAATCAATTAGGTATTTGTCATTTGTCGTTCATATTTTTAAGAATAACAAATGATCAGGTAGGATGGACAACATTGAAAATTGCCTTAGGCTTTATGGAAGAAAAAACATCTTACAGTAGAATACAAGTCTTTTTAGAGAAGAAGAATAAGCATCTCCTTAGTGGTTATACTTTAGTGTGGTCTAACCTACCATAGTATTCCAGAGTTGATTCTTCCCGACAAACTTATTTATCAAATACATTCAGCTAACTACAAGGAAAGAATAAGTCAATTACATATTTAATGACTCGATGCATGATTCGTAAGATACCCATCCACGTATAGTTCTAATTCTAGTTGTGATAAACAAAAGGATGTATATTATTCTATCAGGATGCTTTGGAATGTCAATGCAACAAGCTTGACTTCATGGTAGAGTACAATGTTCCTGCCAATTTTAGTATGATCAATCTGACACTATCCTATGAGAAGCCAGAAGTTTTCATAAATGATGTCGAAGCTACCCAAACTTTGGGAGATTGATATAGGAGCTTCCCACGGGGATGTTTTTGTTATCCGTGCTATAGTATCATGAATTATCACTAGAAATTGTTGCTTGAACTTATCCAAGAGGACTAATTGACCCTTTCTTTACATGGATTTCCCTCCTATTGAGAGTGGGGTCCACACATATTTACCATAGGTCTATGCACATGTTATTTTCATATTTTAGATTAGTTTTGTGTTTTTTTGTATCAGGACAATGGACTTTTCTTCGTACTTGTAAAGTCGGCATCCTAAAATTCCAGGTGGATCTTTAGCTATATTCTGGTCTCCAGGCGGCGTCTATCTTTCCCACACCTTTCACTTCCCTATCGCTGCGATACAAAATGGGTTGGACTGTGGGGAAAACTGTGGCAAACAAATGAGAGGGGTACGGGAGTGGCAGCTAAGAAGGTTGGGGGCAGCAAGGAGCCAATAAAATTGGTCGGTAGTGTGATTGGGTCTCCTAGAACAACAAGGGAGTAAGCGGCTGGCTGGGAAGCCTGAATGGTAAGATCGGTGACTGCAGAAACAAAACAAAGGAACACTATCTATGGTCAGATGCAATAAGTATGGTGATGACAATAGGAATGGAGATTGTGAAAGAAGGGTAAGTTGAAGATAGACACCACTTCATAATGAGATATAGCCGGAGCAACACTTGCCCTTGGATACAACCCTTGAAGGGAAAACATGAGACACTAATGGGCGTTCTCAACAGAAAATACAAAAATAAATATGTAAATAAATAAATAATAAAAAAATTAGGAATCTAAATCTTTATACACACATATATAAGAAATGAGTATGAAAAAATGAAGGATAAAAGAAAACACATTGAAAATTGGAAAGCAATCAGAAGAAGAGCTTCTCGGTTCATCTCTACATTGTTCTTGTGACCCAGACGTCGCGTCTACTCCAAGTCAAGGGAGATGCTTGTGTCAGTATTATCTGCATTAATTCTCAGTATTGATAGTTGAATGAAAACATAAATATCTGACCGAGCTGTATCATTTCATCCTTTTTCTCAAAAAAAATTATTGATAAATTATTTTACAGATAATTATAACGAGCATTGCTTATTGCATTAAGCCTTTAGATATTATGAATATCGATGAAGTGATTTTTGAATCATAAATATACTTACATGAAAATTGAGTATGGTTACACATTTATTGCGAAAACTGATTGCTTGAGAAAATGAAACTGTAGTTCTCTAACCGCAAGTATCAAAGAAGTTAGAGCTATACTATATCTAATAATAGGGATTAACATTAATTTGGCATCAAAGATTATACTACTTGACTAGCTAGAGTATAATAATCATTCATTTCAAAGATAATTTATTAGATTTAAACTTTAATGAATATAGTTTTTAAGAGGATTATGCTTTAGAAAAGCAAAGTGAGGTCACTTTCTCAAAAATGGAAAGAAACTTAAAACCACCAAGCCTAAATAGGTTCACATATATTTGGAGGCTTCCATCTTTAGGCAGCTTTGAGTACTCTTTTCTTTAAAGCTTAGTGGAATATGCAAAATTTATGCAACTGAGTCAGGTAAGTTTGCAATTATAATCTTTAGTGTGTTCATTTTTCATCTTTATATGGTTTTGCATAACATTTTATCACTCTTGACTTTATCTCAAAGGTCTCATTTTTTGTTATACTTCTCTATCACAATTGATTTTTATTATAAAGTTTGTTTTTTTCTTTCCATAAAAATAAGGTACAATCAATTTCATAAAGGGTCACATCATCAAAATTCAATTTTAGACTATCACATTTTTCACTTTTGAATCTCTTTTTTTTTCCGTGAAGGTTAAGTCCAAAGGATAATATGCACGATTCAAACGCACGAACTCACGGTGAGAAACTAAACTTTCAGCAATTATGTCACGAGTAAGTGTTTTAAGCTAGGAATGCTTGCAATCAACCTGCACAAAAACCAGTAGTCGACCGTCACTTCTAAATAGACCGGCTAATTGCCTCTAAAATTTGGATTGACATAATCAAGAGTGAACACAAAATATTATTAACATCCTCTAAATGTTTTTTTAGTTTTCTCATTCGCTCTCTCTTTCTTTTTTCTCCTACTTCTAATCCATGGGGACAAGAAAAA